AAACAAACTCCGACACCACAACTCCGGCGGAAATAAGGAGAACTCGTTCGCCTCTCGCTTGATCATCCACTTCCACTCCTCTAAACCCACCGCAGAGGTCTCCGATGGCAACGAACAGTTTGTGGCACCAAAGATGGAGGGGCAAGCCGAACAACACCACCCTTCGTAACCTGTTGCGATCAACCACGGCTAAGCAACCCACCGTGAAATCCCACTTGTCAATGTGTAGGGAAGCTTCACCCCATCTCTTCCTCCCCACATTCAAAACCTGGAAGCTTCGGCCTCCAATGGTAGACGGAACAAGAACAGGCCGTCAAGTAGGGTTAAAACTTTTACTCTACACGAGATCTACCAAGATTTCGTCGCCCACTCCTCGATCCTTTTAGTGCACCCCACATCACGATCAAACGACCAACCATACAAGATTTCAATACGGATTCACGTTCTGCAATGCTCTGATGATCAACCCTAAGGACCACATCTCTATCAATTGAACAACTTTTGATCTTCCCGTGAAGATTGAGACATGGTAGGGTCGCTACTTTGAGATACGAACGTAGCATGATCTGTCGAAACCAAAGATCCAACACCAAGAAAGAAAAGAAAGAGAACGATAGACGCCGGAATAGAAGACTCCAGCGTCAAAAGAGAAAAGAAAAGTTGAGAGGAAAGTCAAACATCGTATACACAGTAAGAAATTAAAAAATGCCTGTGTCCTTGATTTTAAAGGTAATTGAGAAGATTATTTGTCACTTATAGAGTTTGCCTACAATAATAGTTTTCAGAAGGCTATTGGTATGGCACCGTTTGGGCGTTGTACGACCGACTATGTCGATCTCCTGTTTGTTGGTTAGAGGCCGGTGAGAGTAGATTTTTGAGTCCCGAATTTATCAAGGATACCTCTGAGAAGATTGCCCTTATTCGAGACCGCATGCGCACTGCCCAAAGTAAACAGAAGAGTTATGCAGATTGTCGTACTCGTAATTTAGAGTTTCAGGTAGGGGATCAGGTGTTGCTCAAAGTGTCTCCCATGAAGGGAGTAATGCGCTTTGGCAATAAGGGGAAGTAGTCACCACGTTTTGTCGGTTCTTTTTTTTATTTATTACGGATCGAGTTAGAGCCGTAAATTATCGGTTGGCACTTCCGGATCATCTACATCGGGTTCATAATGTCTTTCGTCCATGTTGCAGAAATTTCAGCGAGATGAGGATCGCTATCAGCATATAGATGTTGGCGAGATTGAGTTGCTGCCGGACGCGACATATGCTGAGCCACCGTGTTGTATTCTTGATCGCCGTGATCAAGTGCGACACCTGCTCAAAGTGTCTCCCATGAAGGGAGTAATGCGCTTTAGCAATAAGAGGAAGTTGTCACCACGTTTTGTCGGTTCTTTTTTTTATTTATTACGGATCGAGTTGGAGCCGTAACTTATTGGTTGGCATTTCCGGATCATCTACATCGGGTCCATAATGTCTTTCATGTGTCCATGTTGCGGAAATTTTACAAGATGAGGATCGCTATCAGCATATAGATGTTGCCGAGATTGAGTTGCAACCGAACGCGACATATGCTGAGCCACCGTGTCGTATTCTTGATCGCCGTGATCAAGTGCTTCGCAACAAGACTATTCCTCTTGTGCGTGTTCAATGGAGCTATCGTAATGAGGTCGAGTCCACTTGGGAACGGGAAGATGTCATTCACTCAAAATTTCCAGAATTACTGAAATAAGGTAAAAGGTGAATTCCGTCAGAATTCCTTTGTTAGGGGAGAAAAATGTAATACCCCTAAATTTTCAAGGCTTTTATTTATTTATTTTATTTCAATTATATTTGGCTACGTGACTATTTGAATTGTTTGTCCATTTGTTTTAGGATTTTATTTGGTTGTCATTTAAATATTAATTATTTAGTGTTTATTTTATTTTTATTTGGGTAAAGTGCATTAAACCCCCCCCCCCCCCCCCCCCAAACTATGACCTGATTGCAAGAAACCCTCCTGAAGTAAGTAAAACCCCCTGAAGTATCATATTGTTGCAACAGTTAACCAGCTGTTAACAGAAAAAGAAAATTACCTTTTAGTCCTTAAGTTGAACAACAATGTTTTTAAGGTCATTCTAATTTCAACTGCTAACGTGGCAAATACAATCTTACCTACAATAAAAAAAAAAATGACAGCACATCAACCTTTTCTGACCTTTTTTTTAATCCATTCTTGTTCGTTTTTTCTTTAGTTCTTTAGTGCTGCTTCCCTTTTTCTTTTTCCAAGCCCAAGAGAGAATCTCATGCGGGCACCGAGGAAGAAGACAAAGATGGAGCAACGCGGTGGCAGTGAGTCTTTGAATGGCAAAGATCGAGTTACCGCCGGAGTTTGGTCGAAAAAGTCTGGAAATGAAGACGACATGATGTCTACGTGCTCTGAACGGCGGCGAGCACAGACTATTCAGCGGCGCATTGATGCAACAGAATTGAAACACACCGGCGACAAACTAAAACGCACCGGTGAGCACAGACTATTCAGCGGCGCATTGATTCAACAGAATTGAAACACACCGGCGACAACCTAAAACGCACCAGTGGGAAGAAAACAACAAATCCAAAAAAAATTAATTGTAAAAAAATTAAAGACAACGTATCCATCAATTAAATTGATTGAAAAAAAAAAAAAAACAGTTGAGGTTTTTCAATTCTTCAATTAATGGTTTTGGGCGGTTAATTTAACGCCCAAAGAGAAGAATTTGACGGCGGCTGGAAATAGGAAAATGGGTGAAATGTTGCTGTTGGGTTTGGGTTTGAATTTGTATTTGCATTTACAGGGGTAGAGAGAAAAGAAAGCGTAGATATCGCCAATTGTGGAGTTGGATTTGTGGCGCTAGTTTTTTTTTTTTTTTTGGGTTTTTTGTGGGTTTTGATTGTGGGTAATGGGTCCTTCGGTGATTGGCGAGGTGAGGATTGTGGCGGTAGTTTTGGGATTAGGATGACGGTGGTGGTTGGTGGCTGATGGTGGTTGTTCATAGAGAAAGGAGAGAGAAAGGCCAAAAATAGGTCATGGGTTTTGCAGAGTGAGGGAGGGTGCCGCCGGAGAAGGTGGCGGCAAGGACGGTGGGGCCCTCTTGGATCCGGCAGCCGCAGACAAATACGAGCCTCTTCATCGGAAGTGAAGCACCGGGGACTTGTCCTTCAACTTGATCCAACACCACCGACTCCTTTGCCACTGAAGTTTCTTGAAGACCGGCATGACTACAATAGCTCCTCCACACCACTGCTAAAGATGGATGAGAGAGAAAGTTGAAAGGGAATGAAGAGGAAGAGATGGAAGGATTACGCGCCACATCAGAAAATATATATATATTTTCTATATATATATATATAATATATCCTATTTTATTCCTTCACTGTTGTAGGGTCAATTTTGTCTTTTTAAAATTTTAGACCCCTCACGTGACATGCATGCCTTCATTTCTGTCAAATTTCTAACGGCAAACTTAACATTTGCAACAAATAAGATAGTTTGGGGAGTTAAATGTCTTCCGAATGGTTCAGGGGGGTTTATTGAGAAAGAGAAGAAAGTTTAGGGGGGTTTAGTGCACTTTACCCTTTTTATTTTTATCTACTTGGCTATTTGATTTGTTTGTGAAGTGTTTAATTATTGGAGATTTAAATGTTAATTATTTAGTAGGATTTCTTTAGTTAATTATAATTTTTTTCATTGGTGTTATTTTTTTTTTTAAGTTGGTTGTTTGGATGAGTAGATTTAAATATATATATATAATATATATATTAAAGTATTATGTATGTAAAATTTTCACTATCATTTATGAGGTTTTGGTTTTTCTTCTCTGTCATGCGCTCGTTCTTGGAGGTTGCTAGATTGCCTCGCTTGTTCCAAGGTGGATCTGTTAGATCTGCAAATCCGTATAGAGGCCCATCTATTTTCTTGGATGATGATTCGGTACGAAGAAGAAAAGAAGACCTTCGGTCGTGTCTGGTTGGAAAATTTGATAAGGAAGTGGGTGATGGGGCTCAAATTGCTGCCTGGGCTTCGCGTGCTTGGAAGGTCTCCTCTGGTGTGATGGTCTCGTCTCTGCCGGATTCTTTATTGCTTTTCCGGTTTCCTTCCTCGACGGAAGCTTCTCAAGTTCTCAAGAGGGGTCGCTGTGACTGGGGAACGGCTTCTCTCTCTCTGGAAGCTTGGAATTTTAGGGTAGGGTGCTCGGAGGTGTTGAAAGAGCAGGGTCTGAAAAAGGTGACGCTGTACGGTCTTCCTCTCCACATTTGGAGCCATGCTCTGTTTGTGACAGTTGGTGATCTTTGTGGTGGGTTCATTTGGGTGGATGCCGATGAAGCTTTGGATGCTGAAAGAGTCCGTATCACTGTCTCTGATGGGAAGGTTTGTCCTCCGTTTGTGTTCATTCATGATGACCAGTTCTGCTATAAGGTGTTTGTTTGGGAGGAGAAGCATCCTGAGCTTGTTCCGACGACTGATAGCCTGGAAGGCGGGGATGGTTCGCACTTGCTTAAGGAGAAAGTATGGTTGAGGTGGGAATCCATGGGGAAAAAAGGTATGGCTGAGTTCCAGGCATGGAAGGAATGGAGTGAAGACTTATGGATTCGCAATTCGGAGTGTTTTAGAAGGATTTACAATCAGAATCGCAAGGATGGGCTTTCCTTTTTGTCGGATCGCCGATGGCAGGAAGCGTCTCAGAAGTTGCAGTGGGGTGGAGGTCTCGCCGGAAATAGTCGTAGATGGACTACGACTATAGAGCCTGACTGACCTAACGGTTGATTGACATCAAAGGTGGCTGGGGCGATTTTTCAATAAATGTTGACCACAATTTTTCAACTAGTTTCAATTGTAGGTAATTTCGAAAAACCTCAGCGGTGGTACTTCACCATAAATCCTATATTTGCAAGTCTCAATCAGCCAAGCAATAAAGTTTCTAAAGGTGTAACAGTAAATAGAGGAGCAATAAATATTAGTAGGCCGAGTCCAGTTGAGTTTACCATTGGTAATCCTAAAGCCATGAGTTCCTCATTAGTCATGTGTCCAAGGGCAGCCATACCAATCTGCATAAAAAGCATGAGGTGTCAAAAATAGTGATATAATTTATTAAGATAATAGTTAAAACCAAAGCCAGCACATAAAATTGCACAAAACAAAGGATAGCTATAAAATTCACATACTTGCTTATTTTTGAATGACATTGAATATTTTTGAAGGCCCAGCGATTGCAGGAAATAATCCACTGATTCAGCCTGCACCAAACATGTATCACTTATATGTACTAAAAAACAGTAAATTATTGTATTGAGTACAGAATCCCCATAATTTATATTTAATTTCATTAGAAAGTCTTCAGCTAAGCTGATGTTTAAGATACACCCTGCAACCCCCAAAACAAAACAGTGGAAAAAAAGAATCTACAGCTTCACCAAGTATAAATTTATTGGCATCCTACCAAGTTCAACCATTCAAGTTGAACAACCAACATAAATTTAGGTGATTGGTATGAGAAGTGCTAATAAATTGACTATTTAAAATGAGAAGTTTCATGGGAAAGAAATAGAGTGATTGTCTAACTACATGATCAGCATATAATAATATAAAGCCAACTCTTAAATACTTCTCCAATCAGTTTGAAAGCAGTAAAAATAAATAAATAAATAAGGAAAGAAAGAAATTCAATATGAGTTGCTCCAAAAGTACCAAGAGAAAGGGCCATTGGGCGAACAAAGGCGCCTCTCAAAGTAGCGTACTTTGCTTGGACATCCGTTTTGGGAAAGATTTTGACTTAGGACAATCTTCAGAGAAGAAGACAGATTGTGGTCAACTAGTGGTTTATGTGCAAGAATGATGGGTAGATGTTTGGCAATCTTCTCTTACATTGCCCAGTGGCTAGAGATTGTTGGTTTTTGTTTCTGGGTTTGTTTGGGATTCACTGGGTTATGCCACGGTCTACCAGAGGCTTGGAAAGGGTGTATAGTGGGGACCCAAGCTCGGGACTCTTGGAGGGTTACTCCTTTATGCATTTGGTGGTGTTCGTGGCTTGAAAGAAATAGGAGATCCTTTGAAGGAAAGGAAAATCATATTGGGTCGTTGAAGTTCTCCATACTTAGCACTCTTTTTTGTTGGGTTCTAGAGAGAAATTGTAAATCCTTGGATGAGCTTGTAGAGTTTCTGGATTTGTTGAGGGTTTACAGGCCCCATTTGGCCTTTTTGTTGTTTTTGAGGGATGCATTCCCCTTTTGAGCGCTTTTAATGAATTCTTACTTATCAGGAATAAATAAATAAATAAATAAAGTACCAAGGGCAAAAACCCAGTAGTATCTCCTCTACTCCAAAAATAAAAGGTGCAATCCCATAAGAGCAAATGGGTGTGTGCTAAGTTAAAAAAAAAAAAAAAAAATTGCACCGAAAGGGAAAATGAAAATTACTAAATCCGTTAAATTGAGTGGCTTTTCTTGCCACTCCCCAAGGGGAAGATGAGGTCGTAATTCCCATTGGGACACACTTATGTTTGCCTTACCCACAAGTGAAAAAGAAATAAAAAGAATTAATGTAATTGCAAAACACCCTAGAAAAATGAAGACATCATTCTTTGTAAAAGTAGTAAAATGCAACGACAGAAGAAATATTTGAAAAATGGAAAACAGTATGTTCTAGAAACTGAGGCTGAGTACACAACTCTTTTTCAAGCAGGTTGACTGACCTCAGGTTCTGGCATTGGTGGATTGGGATCCTCAAACTGCTCAGACAGAATCTTAGGACCTCCTGAAATAAAACCTTTTCCACTTTGAGTTCTTTGCTGAAAAATCCTTCACTAAAGTTATGAAGTAAAATATAACTAAATAAAACAATACAAGCCATTGACATTCAGTCAAACTAATATGTACAAAAATCTCCTATATATTATTATTTTATTATTTATAATTACAGCAGAATTTATATATAAGTCAAATAGAATCATAGATGCAGCCTTTAGAGGAATACAATTGTATATCAAACAATTCATACTTGTCCAGAAATCAGTCTTCGAGCCATATTTACTCGACCTGCAAAACAAATGACATCGAGTCAAATAAAATAAAAAAAATTAACAGAAAAGATAGAAGACTTTGTGCCTCAACATATAATGGCATTACACCTTGCATGCTAAGGAAACAAAATGAAGAAAAATGGAAGTACATCCACGAAATTTTTTTACTTAATGGCTCACAACTGTAGACCAGGCATAATTTATTACTTTATTTATATATACATATACACAAGTATAATATCTATTATATGAATATAAGAGAGAGAAAAAAAATATTCTAATATCTCCTCATATTTAATAAAAAAAATACATCAACCTTCTTTATCAGTCAGTTTCGGGAGTAGTGGTAAAAATTAAATATTGTGATACCAACATTATAAGAATACCAACAACAATAATGTTAATTATGCTAATATTTATAGTTGTTAACCGTTGAGTGGTAGATGACAAATTCTATAACTACTCTTTGTACATGTTAATTGAGTTTTGTTAAGTTTATTAAGTTAAAATGTCAAACAAAAAAAATTTCTCTTAATACTTCATCAAGGTAATAATGACATGTATTTCTCCAAGTGGAATCAAAGAAATCAAAATTTTCTTTTTAAAATATTGAAACAATTGTTGAATTAATTTTAATTCTTGAAGAATGTTTTTCTTTTACAAATTCTCCTTTTACCTTTTACTTTCTGCTTTCTCCTCTTACTATTTTTTTTTCCCTTTTTCGTAGCTACTTTTTAGGTTAATTTTTCTCTTTTTCTTTTGCATTTTCCTTAATATATATACTAATAGGAATAATATTATAACGAAAATTATAATACGATAGCTTTATAAATTTTAAATTACATAGTACTAATTCGGCCTCTCTCACTCTTGCACTGGACTAGTGATTTTTCCCCATTTTTTCCTTTTTATAATTCAGCCCCCCCAAATTAAGATTTCTGGCTCCACCCATGATGACAAACGCAGTGAACCAAGAACAAATCACAAAAGAAAATAAACATGCCACACAAAGAACACAAAAATTTACGTGAATTGGCACAAGTTGTGCCTTCGTCCACGGTGAAGATCCGATGAAAGATTGCAATGTGCGAAAATCAAGATATTACAAGTTTCAGCCGCCAAATACTAGCTCTTGCCCTAACTTAGGGGTTGTAAACGAGCCGAGATGAGCCAAGTAGTGGACTGGTTGGCTCGGCTAGGCTATTAAAGAATAGTGTTTGAGCTTGGCTCGAGCCAAGCTCACACCACAGTGTTCAAGCTCAGCTCGAAGACGTCCACAATCTATTCGAGCCCAGCTCGAAGCGCGTTAAAAATTCCTTTTCAAGGAAAATAAATAAACTGAGCCAAGCTCACACCACAGTGTTCGAGCTCAGCTCGAAGACGTCCACAATCTATTCAAGCCCAGCTCGAAGCTTGTTAAAAATTCCTTTTCAAGGAAAATAAATAAACTGAATATATGACACTATATATATTGGGGTACAGTAATTTACAGATAATACAACAATCTCAAGAAAAAAAAATAAAATAAAAGTATTACAGATCTCCCAAAATTATTAATTGTTGTGAGTGTGAAGTTGTTGTGCAATTCTTTACTTCTTTTGCGCTGGCAGTTGATTACAAAGAGAGACTGTTTTAAACCTCCATAGCCGGAGATTAGCCTAAGGTTGTATGTCACAAATAGCCAAAGACCTAATTTTTTTTTTTTTTTGACTAGTTTCATAAAAGGCGCTCAAAAGGGGAGTGTTGCCAAAGGAAACAAAAGCCGTCCAGGACGACCCTATAACCTTAAGCTATCAATAAAATCCAAAAGACAATCCATAGAATTACAATACTGTCCATTTACCCAAAAGAATAAAGAAGTAAGAATGTTGTATTTAAGAGCCCATATAGGAGAATCCTCTCCCTAAAAGTAGCCTCCTAATTCTCTCGCGCCACAAACCCCATCAAATCCAAAGGGGAGTAGACCTCCAAGCATCTCTGACTCGGCTCGCCACTGTACATGCTGCCAAGTCTCTAACAAGTTGACAGTGGATTCTAGGAACACCCATGGAAGACCAAACGCTACCAAAAGCATATAGACCAAACATCCCTTGCCACCGAGTAATGAATAAGAAGATGGTTGACAGATTCACCCGACTTCTTACAAATATAGCACCTGTTAACCACAATCTAACGTCTCTTTCTAAGGTTGTAAGGATGCTTCCCAAGGCAACAATCCACGAGAAGAGAAACACCTTCAGTAGCTTTCTAAAGGAAGGCGGGGCCAGGAAGCTCCAACATACTATAGTAGAACTTCACCTCGAGCACCTCTCTCAAGGTACCCACCCACATCATCTCGTCCATGCCCAACCTGACCACCACCTGGCTATAAATGAAGGCTAGGAAACCTATAACCTCTAAGAGTTCCCAATCGTGGAACCGTCTACAAAACTGCACATCCCAAGTCACCCTCCCATTATCGAGACGATAATAGTCAGCAACCGCAACATCTCTATTCACAGCAATCTGGAAAAGTCGAGGGAACCTATGGGCTAAAGCCGAGTCCCCACACCATCTGTCCTCCCAAAACCTGACATTTCTTCCACTTCGAACCTTGAAACGTATACGTTTGGAAAATTCATCCCAAACTTATTGAATAAGTTTCCAAGAACTCACTCTTGCTAGGGTTATAGCCTCCCTAATCCCTCTCCATAATGACAAGCAATAATACACCTCCAAAGCTTGGACCCCTCCCCCCTAAATCTCCACAACTGCTTGCCCAACAAAGCTATATTAAACACAACCAACAATTCCCAAACCCCCCTTTTTAATAAGGGAACACACTCTCTCATAGTTCACCAAACGGTACTTGAACTCATCTCCTAACCCGCCCCACAAAAACTTCCTCAAAGTATAAAGTCTTCGAACAACTATCATAGGCATCGGGAAAAGTGACATAAAGTAGGTCGGGAGTTTTAAGAGTGTGCTTTTCATTAGAGTAACCGTCCCCCCTTTTGACAAGTATTCCTTTTCCAACCTGCAAGCCTCCTCTCAAACCTCTCAACAATCGGATCCCAAACTCCCAAAGGGAGTCCCAAGTAGGAGATCAAAACTGAATCCAGAATTTGGCGCCCACCAACAAAAGCATTTTGTGAATCTGAGATCACCCCGTCAAGAACTCTCCTCAGCCGAATGGCTAAGACTTTCACAATGATCTTAGACACAGCTCCAACAAGACTAATGGGTCTGCAGTCCTTTGTCTCAATGGCTCCTCCCTTTTTGGGGACAAGAGTGATAAGGGAAGTGTTGAGACTCTTCTAAAAAGAACCATGCAGAAAGAAAAAAAATGCGATTGCCCCCATCACCTCAGCCTTCACCGCCTCCCAATTATGCTGAAAGAAAGGTAAAGTAAGCTCATCTGGCCCAAGAGTTTTATCCCCATCACAGCTCCTCAAAGCCTCCAACACCTCGTCCTCCCCAAACGGCATCTCAAACCCGTCTCTATCACCATATGAGATAGCCGCAAACTCAAGGCCATCAAGCAAAGGTCTCCAACTAGCAGTCTCCTCAAAAAGCTGCTTGTAGAAGGATATAAACCCATTTCGGATATCATCTTCCCTAGTGACCATAACGCCATTAAAGTGAATCCTTCCAATGTGTTACTTCTATATGCGTTGGCCAGTCGGTGAAAAAACTTCGTGTTTCGATCACGTTCCTTAAGCTAGAGGGTTCTAGACTTTTGTCTACAAGAGATCTCCTCCATCTCCACAATCTCTCCAAACTCAACCTTGCACTCCTCCCTTGTGCTAATTTTGATACAGGAGCATCTACAAAGCTCTCCAAGACTAATCGGGCCCGCTAGCTAACTAGGCTTGGGTTCTAGTTATCTTAGTCCTAGTCTTTTTAAATAGTCATGTGACTGTCATGTGAGTTTTTAAGTACTTCGAAGGGTTGGAATTTATTAGTTACCGAAGTAATCAAGGGCTAGGATGCTAGGGCTGCTGTAGCCCTAGTATAAATAGTCTATTAAGAGTCATTGTATGCAGTTTTTATTCCATAAAATCATATCCAGAGTTTCTTTCGGGTCTCTTTGCCCTAGAACTCACTTATCTACATTCCAACTTTGATTCGATTGCTTTATCTCTCTGTTTTCAAGCTTGTTTATTGCTGGAAATTCCTTTCTTTTGTTGTTTTACACTGCTACAGTTGTCGGACAGCAGCTTATTGCTACTGCCCTGCACCAAATTGGTATCAGAGCCGAAAACCCTAGATATACACCATGGTTGGACGTGGTAGAGGTCGTGGAAGAGGAACAAGCCCAACAAACAGAGATGGCTGAGATAAGGCATATGATTGAAGATCTGTCAAGAGCGGTGCAGGCTCTTCAATGACAGGAACGTGCGGAAGCCCATATGGAGATTCCGGAAGGCAACCGTGGCCCCTTGAATGTACCAGAAGGTAGTCTTGAGGATGACTATTTTGAAGAAGAAGAGGAGAAAATCTGGATCACGGCAGATTGGAAGGGCAGTTGGTTCGTGCGTTGGATTTGCATGGTGGAGGAATTAAAATTGAAGTTGCTGACTTCTATGGAAAGATGCATGCCGAAGATTATTTAGATTGGGAGGCAAGCTTGGAGAGTTACTTTGAGTGGAAGCCCATGGCAGAAGATAAAAAGGCGTTGTTTGCAAAGCTCAAGTTGAAGAGTACTGCACTTCAATGGTGGAAGAGAGTTGAAGAACAGCGCGCTGGGCAATGGAAGCAAAAAATCAACACATGGGAACATATGAAATCAAAATTGCGAAAGCAAGTTCTGTCTGCTAATTATTCAATGGAGTTACATGAAAGGTTTCATAGTTTGAAAAAACAAGACATGCTCGTTGAAGAATATACATCTGAGTTTAATAATCTCTCGATTCGAGTTGGCTTAAACGAGAGTAATGAACAATTGACATCTCGTTATCTTTCTAGTTTGCATCAGTGTATTAGAGATGAGATGGGATTGGTCCGTTTGTTCAACCTAGAAGATGCTCAACAATA